GACCTGGACTGAAGCTCAGAGTTACTGCAGAGAACACTTCACTGACTTGGTCACCATCTACAACAACGACATCAACCAACTGCTTGTTTCAATTTCACCAAGGATCGAAGGTTGGGCTTGGATAGGGCTCTATGATGATCGTTACAGCTGGAAGTGGTCCATGGAGGAAAAACTTTTCTATGTTGGCAGCACACATGAATTTATGATCTGGGCTAACGGCCAACCAGACATTATAAATGCAAATGAATACTGTGTGGCTCTTCAGGAACAAACACAGATGGATGATAGACCCTGTGGAGATTCTTACCCTTTCCTGTGTTACAATGGTAGGAAAAAGATTTGTTGGCCTACTTATCTCTACAATTCTATGAGACTAGGCATATTTCAAAATTAATCATTTTCTGAATCTTTCGCAGCCAGCAGTACAAGTTACATCTTAGTGAATGAGAGCCGCTCCTGGTCAGCGGCTCAGTCGTACTGCAGGACATACCACACAGACCTGACCAGTATAAGAAGCAAAGAGGAGAAATCCAACATCACGCTCACTTTGAGTGGATCAGGGGTTCAGTATGTGTGGATTGGCCTCTACAGGGATCCCTGGGCCTTCTGGTCTGACAACACAACCTCCACATTCACTAACTGGAAGTCTTTTCAGCCTAGTAACTATTATCACACTGAGTACTATGGAGCATTTTATTTAAAGACGGGGACATGGGAAGATGGCCCCAGCACCTTCGGTTTCTATTTTTTCTGTTTCACAGGTGAGGTCCAGAATGCAAACACTGTAAGATCCTGTCATCATGTAAAACACTAATGTTTGTGTTGTTATATGTGGTTCATTTTTAGCAGTGACAAAGCAAACAGTGGTGAAAATGAAGCTTCAGTCAGAGGCAGACATGCACAGCACAGAAAACCAGCAGCAGGTTTCAGAGCAGGTCAGCAGTTCAGTCACCAACACAAACTTGACACAAGTTCAAACTATGCTTCATGTTTTTCATCATCTGCACATTTTGTCCAGCTGTCAGGCCTCATGCTGTCAGAAGGACTGACAGACTTCAGGATTCGTTGGAGGAAAGTCCAGAGTTACCGTGACGACCAGTCGAAAGAAGCAGGATGTGGACGGTGACTGCAAAACTGAAGTCTGACTGGACTGAACCACTTGATGTGAAGGGCTGCCACGATTAGTAGACTATAAAAATCGTCGACGACTAATTTAATAGTCGACACGTCCTTTGAAGCTTTGTAAGATCCCAAAAGACGCAGGAATAAGTTGTAGGATTTAAGAGTGTAATAACGGACTGAAACAGAAGATGGCAGCACTGCATGTACAAGGATGCCAGCTGCCGTTAAACCCCGAAGAAGAAGAAGCAGCGTCACAGAATTCATAGCGCAGCCCAGCTCAGTTTCCAACAATGGTGGCAGCTAGTTAGTTTTAATTTACTCTTATTATTCTTTCTGGGTCACAAAATAAACGTATAACATATTTTCAGGTGAGAATGTAGCTGTGTAAACCTCAAATATCTGCTCAGTTTATCAAGACACCGCATATATTCAAAAGCACTTCAATGTTTTCGGAGACGTCTGTTACCCACCAGCTCGATAGCGAGCCGGGGGCAAGGTTCACTAGCGCCGGTGAAAACACCGGACTCCTGGCAGCTGAATAAACGTCAAGCAGACAACTTACTATAAGAAGTGTGAGATGCTCGAGAATATACTCCGGTGTCCTGTTATACTTTAGATAGCAAGGAGCAGACGGCTGAGTTTATTAAACTCAACCGAAACAATCTGCAAATTTTTATTAAAATTTAATAAACTATCATCTTGTCTTTATTTTTAGTTAGCACAGACCTTAAACACTTAAAGCTGTAAGCTAATGATAGTTATATAAGAGCAGATGCTGCTGGTGCAATAAGCTGTACGTTTTACGTCCAGTGGATGATGATCTGATTAGTCGACTAATCGCAAAAATAATCGGTGACTAGTCGACTATCAAAATAATCGCTTGTGGCAGCCCTACTGATGTGTGAAGTTAATAACATGCTGTGCTGAGCTGTCTCAGCCTTTAAATCTTTCAATATTTCAGAGTGTAAAGTTCCACCTACAGCTCATTTGTTCAGCTGTAGTTGTAGTTTGGTAGAAATTCTTTAATCAGAGGTCCACTCACTAGTTTTCGTGATAGGCTCTAGTCTCTTGTTTTTGTTTTTCAGTATGGCTTCCAACACCTTAGACCCTGTCCATCTGTGGACGTCACTGCACAGGCTTTGTCTGTGTGCAGTTTATTAGGATCCATAGTTCTGTTTCATTGTGACAGCAACCTCTGCTGACTTACACAAATGCATCACATAGGCAAGTATACAAGAAGCAATATTTAATGAAACACGTAAATTAAAATGCTAAGTTAGACTCAAGTCCTGATAATTTCACTTCTTTTATTTTGATCTTAATGTGTTTTCTTGGTGATTTGAGCTTATTTTTCTATTAATAAAACAATGAGTCCTTTGTGGGTTTTTACAGAGTAATAAATCAGGTAACATTGTTACAGATCTATAAACATAAAAACTCTTGACAATAAAGTTTTCTGTTTCTTTAGTTTTTTTCTCTCTGTGTACGTTTGAGGCCCGTGTTAAATTCAGCGCTTTTAAAATGTAAAAGACCTGAATGTGATTTCTACAATCTAAAAAAGAGCAGCTCAAGTGGAAACAGGAAGGTTGGGAAAAGAGACCGGACTGTAAACTCCAGAGAAATTTATATATGTTTAGTTAAACTGGTGTTGGGAAGTATAATATATGCATGTTGCTGTTATGTTATATAGTAGAATTGTGTTTGATATATTTATATATGCAAATATAAAATATATAACTTTCTCTTAATGACAGTAAGCGGTCCAATCCCAATGGCCCTGCTCAGATGAGAAGCCTGAGGTCTTTGAGAAAAACTTTCTGTGAGTCTTTATGTCTGCAGACTTTGACTTAAGGCATGACCTGCAGTTTATAGCGCTGTGATGTTAACCACAGGTTAACCACGACAAGCGTTAAAACACAAGACAAAAAACTAAATTTAAATAAGCACGAGAGAAGGAACTAACTCTTAAATCTTAGGGTCGACTTGGGATTGG